TGGTGGTGGTGGTGGTAGTGTGGTGGTGTGGTGGTGGTGGTGTGGTGGTGGTGTGGTGTGGTGGTGCAGTGGTGGTGTGGTGGTGTGGTGTGGTGGTGCAGTGGTGGTGTGGTGGTGGTGCAGTGGTGATGTGGTTGGTGTGGTGTGGTGGTGTACCTAGAGTTTTCCTGCCTGGCCCACAGTCAGGACAAATCTTTCTCACCCTCCAGTCCCATAGCCACTCAGACCCAACCAAGTAAACACAGAGACTTATATTGCTTACAAACTGTATGGCCGTGGCAGGCTTCTTGCTAACTGTTCTTACAGCTTAAATTAATCCATTTCCATAGATCTATACCTTGCCATGTGGCTCGTGGCTTACTGGCATCTTCACATGCTACTGGTCATGGCGGCGGCTGGCAGTGTCTCTCTGCCTCAGCCTTCCACTTCCCAGAATTCTCCTCTCTGTTAGTCCTGCCTATACTTCCTGCCTGGCCAGTGGCCAATCAGTGTTTTATTTATTGACCAATCAGAGCAATTTGACATACAGACCATCCCACAGCATGGTGTGGTGCTAGTGGTGTGGTGGTGTGGTAGTGTGGTGTGGTAGTGGTGTGGTAGTGGTGGTGGTGGTACTGGTGGTGGTTTGGGTAGCTACTATATAAGTCTTCATTGCTTCTCTTCTTAATCTTATTATTCTATTATCTGCACAACTACTGATAAGCTTAAGAACAAAACTACCTTAGTAAAAATGACCTCATTACTGGTTTTATACAAATATCCTTCCATGAAAAATTACTTGTCTATTAAATATTGGTTCCTGCACTTACCTTGAATTCCCACTTACATGTGAGGTTTTGTTGGGCTATTTTGACAAACTCATGTAATTGGTTGTGTATTTTTTACTGTTAATAAGTTTAATATTTCCTGGCAACATTCCCAGCCATGTGTTTTCATCAGTATGGAAATTCAATTTTCCACTGAAACAAAGAAATACAATCTGATCTGTAATGGTATTTCTTGTTTTATGTACAGCCTTTATTCTGTATCAACAAAAGTGGGTCAGAATATAAATCTACATAATCAAATTTTGCTTTAATTTTCAGGAGAAAAAATTATGAATGCTTGAACACTTTGCTAACTGCTTTAGTCATTTTCTCAATAGTCCCAGAAAACTTAATGAGATTCTACCCATGAATGTGGAGATAATGGTCAACATAATTATGTCTATTATGCCAATTATTCCTTTTCCACCTTCATGTGAGAGAATAAACATTATGGTGTTAGTATTTTTAAAATTGAATTCAGTCAACAAACCCTTATTTAACAACATCAAGAAAAAGATGATCCTAGGCATCCAATGTGTTTACAGGAATAACCACTCACTAAGCCTGGGAGAAAAAAGCAAAAGTACAGCATTCCTACAAAAGTATTGAGTTAACCCTTTGCTCTGTATTCAGTGTTCACAGTAGGGAGGTTCCTGTTGATCACATCTGGGGTAACATGGCCTTTGAAGTGGGGAAAGTGGGCCTGATTTTAATCTATCTCCACTTCTAAATGATCAAATTTCACACATGTGTACAGTGTAGATGATCTTTCTTTGGACCACCAGTTCCTGACATGGAGACATAATGACATGGAGACTTATTATTAATTATGAAAGCTTGGCCTTAGCTTAGTCTTGTTCCCAAGTAACTCTTACAACTTAAATTAACCCATTAATATTAATCTACATTGTGCCACATGGCTCATTACCTCATCTCAGTACTATACATCCAACTCCCTCCAAAGTCTTGCTGGTGAATCTCCCACCTCAGAGTCTTCCCAGAGTTCCTATCTCTGCCCAGAAATTCATCTATCCTCTCCTGCCTAGCTATCAGCCATTCAGGTCTTCATTAAAACAACCAGAAGGAGCCTTAAGCAGGTGAGAAAGGACAGAGTGTGATCAAATATCCCTAAACAGTACAGTGTATTTTTATGGTATCCATCTACATCACTCTGCTGTAGAATTCTTCTGTACACTTTGTAAATTACACTGTGATAGTTTTAATAAAGAAGCTGACTGGCCAATAGCTGGGCAGGATAAGGTTAAGTGGGGAAAACAGACTAAGAATGCTAAGAAGAAGAAGGGCGGAGTCAGAGGAGTCACGAGCCAGGTGCAGAGGAAGCAGGAAGTATATAAAACAAGGTAACAAACCATGAGCCATGTGATAGAACTTAGATAAGAAATATGGGTTAATTTAAGTTGTAAGAGCTAGCTAGTAACAAGCCTGAGCTATCGGCCAAGCATTTATAATTAATATTAAGACTGCTGTCAGTTATTTGGAAACTGGTGGGCAGGAAAGAAAAGTCCACCTACATTACTCCTCTTCTCTCCTCCCACTCCCACTGAATTCCCAATAATCCCTCATCCTATGTTCACTTTTTTAATCTTGGCACAAAGTCATTTTTCTAGGTTTCATTTTAAAACTGACACTTTAGAGGGAACCAGATCTATCTAAAAGTGCCAGGAAGGAAGAATTAAAGAAAGACATTTAAAATTCTGTCATCATTCTAAACAAAATCAGCTGAGGTGACCTGACAGTATTTAAGGTATCTAAACACCCATAAAAAAAATTCTAGGGGATGAATTAACCATGCCAGTTGGCCAATCTGTCTATGAAATGGCAGGTAATTGTTTTCTCTTGGGTTTTTAATCATTATTTTCTTGTCTATTTTTGCCAAGTGTTGGAGCCACAGCTAAGATTCAGACTCTTCTGAGAAAGCTTCAAAAAGTAATGTTTGAAGAAAGGAGTAATAAATCTATACCTATGTGTGAGTGAAGGAAGCATTTCCTAAGGGAAAGAGACTCACTTTAAGAATAAAATACAACAGTCTTGGCCCAACAACAAACTCCCAGAGACAAGAGGCCGAAGGATTTAAATATGGCCGAGAATCTGCCATGTTGAACGTAAGATACATGAGAACAGGCATTTCTGTTCCCTGTAATGTCCCACCAACCTTGGTCAGGAACTGGGCTAGGATAGGGGGCAGATGTGTTTCCCTAGGAAAGGAAAATAGAATAGCTATGGATGGACGGGGGCATGGGATGGGAGGATCAAGTAGGGAGGTGGAGGGAAGAGGAGACAAGGGAGGGATATGGAGAGAGACAGCTAAGTTAAAGGGCCTGTTGAAGGTGGTGTAGAAACCTAACACAGTAGATTCTTCCTAAAATACATACATATATGAAGACAATATAAATGAAATTGCCAAATAATGGGAGAGACAGGGTGCCAACTGGAGTACTGGGGTTGGGTTACATCTAATTGAATTGTTGGGCAAAAGGGTCCCATGGGAACCAACAATCAACCCAGGCTGTTGCCAAAACCATAGATTGTTCTCCACAAACATTCCAACATTTTCAGTAAAGGTACTCTGCAGGCTACCAAAAGAGAAATGTAATCGCCAACCCAGCCACAAACCCTTTGATATTCAATGTTGTGTGTGTGTGTGTGTGTGTGTGTGTGTGTGTGTGCCCCTACACAAATGTGGGGAAGAAAGTATGTGTGTATACATATATGTGAATGTGTACATGTGGTGTGTGTGTTTGTGCGTGTGCATGCACACATGGGCAAGCATGTGTGTATGCAAGTGGGTGCTTGCGTGTGTGTGTGTGTGTGTGTGTGTGTGTGTGTGTGTGTGTG